GTCCGTATGCAGAGCTTGTTGGCTGCCTCATGTACCTGATGACCTGCACACGACCTGACCTTGCATACCCTCTGAGCATTCTTGCACGCTATGTTGCTCCTGGGAGACACAGACCGGAGCACATGGCTGCAGCGAAGAGGGTATTGCGCTACCTGTGCAGCACGTCGGGCATGGGGCTAGTGCTTGGAGGGCGGAGTCCAGTGGTCCTTACCGGCCACGCGGACGCTTCTTGGGCTGACGACCAGGCTACGCAGCGGTCGTCACAGGGTTACACCTTCAGCCTTGGTTCCGGCTCTGTCTCGTGGCGGTCTACTCGCTCGTCTTCGGTTCTCGGCTCCAGTTGTGAGGCTGAGATCTACGCCGGGGCCATGGCTGCACAGGAGCTTCGCTGGCTCACCTACCTGCTGACTGACCTTGGAGAGCCGCCTCGTTCTCCTCCAGTGCTGTACGTAGACAACAAGGCTATGCTGGCCTTGTGTCGAGAGCAGCGCTTGGAGCACAGAACGAAGCACATTGCTCTCCGCTACTTCCTTGCTCGTGAGCTGCAGCAGCGTGGTCAGTTGCGACTTGCGTACGTGGCCTCTGAGGCCAACACTGCTGATGTGTTCACCAAGGCACTTGCGCCTTGTGATCATCAGCGCTTCTGCACGCAGCTGGGTCTTGTGCCTGTCTTGCCTCACTTGCTCACCTCTTGACCTTGCTTGTACTGTTGCATATATATACACCTGCTCTTGCTTGTCTAGTCCTTTATATATATGTACTCTTGCATGTGAACTGGCCTTGTGGCCTTGAACTTGTGCTCAGAATGTGTGGTGACTTTTTGATCCACCCTGAGCTTGCTTTGCTTTGCTTTGCTTGACTGGTCTTGTGACCCCTTGTTCTCCCCCACTGTGCCTATGGGGGTGTGTCAGATTTATATGACATAGTTGTTGTAGGCTATAGTGGGGTAGCACATATGGGGTACAGGGTTTCTAGGGTTGTATTTGTACCCATCTTTCCTTAGTCATTTCCATCCCTGTTCGTTTATTCTCACAATATTTTCCAGAAAAGCAGCACCCTGATTGCTCAGTGTTGGGAAGTTATACAGTCTGAGTGTTCAGGGTCGAGAAGTCACGATCAGGGTACGTGTAGTAACGCGCTGTGCATTATCGAAACTGAACTTTGATGGCGAATCTGTTCTGTGAAAGGGCGAATGTGCAATGTCAGATACATTTTACTGTGATTGGTCAAGACCTTTGTGCTCTGACAGCTCAAATCTGTTGTGTCGGGGCCATTTCGCTGTGATTGGGCAAATTCGTTGCTCCGTACGGCGCGAATTCGCTTTGTCAACGCGATTTTTTAATGACGCTGGTGCTGTGACCAGTCAAGACGGGTTTGACTCACCAGTTTGACCCTCACTAGTGAACCTCGGAGTATCGAAAGGAAATTTCGAGGAAGCTTCCTCCCGATAAACTAGCATGCAGGGTCCACAGAACGCATACTCTGTAGTGACAGACTCCAGAAATGACTTACACTGAGGCCTATTACACTGAATCAGGGGCCATAAAACAATAACTCTGAGGCTCTCAGTGATGAAAATTTGACTACTCTGGAATTCCATTTTTCACAAACTCGATGGTCTGATCCGTCAGACTAATCAGACTATTTACTCTGATAGCGTCAGCCCTGCTCTGTACGCGGTTCGAAATGTCAATGCACCTGGACATTCCACAGTAAAAATCTCGCGCGGGAAAAAGTTCCGCTCGTCAAAACCCCACCCGAACCAGACAGTTGAAGAAGCAGGTGTTCAGTCAAGTTTGAAATCCAATCAAATGAGCACAGCTGTAAATTTCGCCTGGTCGCACAGTTTCGTGATACACTCATTTTTTGTGACGCGAGATTGCAAAAATGTGTAGACGCGACTCGGAAAAAAGGGGATTGAGACACAAGTGTCTCCACAGGAACGCACCCTAAATGTTTGCTCATGCATTCGCTCACATCTTTGTACTCGTTTGACACCTTAGTGCAATCCTCGCTACTTAGATTCATTGCACCCGTAGAAGTAAGATTATCTCTATGCTACCTACACTCTTGCATATGAATTCAAACTCCTTCGCCGACACGGTGTAGACGAAGAATTGTCACGGTTTGAGACGTCTGTTTGGTTGCAACAAGGATGCTCGATGAAAAATAATAGTTGATCGGTTAGTCATGGCTTCCCAGTGGCTCATTTATCTGTCTGTTAAATACAAACTCTTGGTCCGAGTGATAGTTAGAAAACGGGTTAGTAGAGTTATATAACAGCCAAGACATTAGCACTAAACTAGGCACTTGTGAACTTCGTCACAGCTTTTGTTCCCTCAGACACGGCGTGCTTGGCCAGCTCTCCGGGCAGCGTCAACCGAACAGCCGTCTGGATCTCGCGAGACGTGATCGTCGGCTTCTTGTTGTACCGCGCAAGCTTCGACGCCTCCGTCGCAAGCTTCTCGAAGATATCATTGATGAACGAGTTCATGATCGACATGGCCTTGGACGAAATACCCGTGTCTGGATGCACTTGCTTCAAGACCTTGTAGATGTAAATCTTGTAAGTTTCCGTAACGGCCTTGCGAGCCTTTTTCTTCTCTTTCTTCTCCCCGATGGGCTTCTTTCCTGCAGGAACTGCTTTCTTAGCAGCGGGCTCCTTCTTAGGGCCCTTCTTGGCAGCCTTCTGCTCTCCCTCAACCTTAGGAGCCATTGGAACTAAAGGAAAATCGTATGAACTTTAAAACTGGAAAGCGGAAAGTTGACTAAAGGTTGCGTTGGAAGTCTGGAGGCTAGTGAGCAAAGTAGACTGAATGTTGGACAAGTAGCTCGGAATATGGAAGAGTGAGCTTCATCGAGCAATTTGAATTGTTGCTTGCTTGCAGAGATGCTTTCAAGGGACATCGGGGATTGTTTGATGTTTTATTTCGGCCAATAGAGTAAATCTTGACGGATCGATAAAGCTTTTGGTGGTGACCGATAAGGACAATGATAAGGCTGCACGCGGAAGGATTGTAAGCCGTTCGATAAAGGTGGTGAGCTTCCCAGTGGTCGCGATTGAAACTTTCTGGTGCCCGAGGTGATTGAAACCTACACCTGCTGCCCGTTTGAGTTTCCCCTACTTGGGTTGTGCTCTAGGCTCATAAACGTTTTGAGCGCTTCGCCCAGTTCGCTCTACTTCGCCAGGGTGTTGAGGTGCTTCTAAAAAACACAGGTTGTAACTCGTTTGTTTTTTTTTCCAAAACAAATCTGGTGGGCCTGTGTTGTTGTTAGTTCAGGGTTTAGGGTTTATGCTTGTTTCTGGCCGAGAAACAAGAACAAACCGGGTCAGCATGGTTTGTTTTGCGCCTAAGATTCATACTTCGGCGTTTTCTCGCCCAAATGCAAGTTGATCCGCGTGCCTATAACCTGGGTGCAACTGACTGGGAAAAAAAACACGGGTGCAGACTTTCTAAAATTGGAGGGGCAAATTCGCGCGCAGTGGTTGGGCATCATGTGTATATTTTTTATCACCTGCCCGCGAAGTATGTTCGCCTTTTGCACTGGCCCCGCACATGGGATGTGCCGAGCCATTCCCGCACACCACAAACATTTTTGACATCGCGAAATCCAATCAAAACACGTCTGAATGGTGCTCTCGCATCGACGCATTTAGCGTTCTGCCGTCGATAAGGTGCACCGAAATGCATCATCAACGACAGAGATCACTCTGTACTCCCAATTTCCTCCCAAACCACCCACCGCAAGCCTCGCAAATCCAGCTTCAAGCCAGGAACCCTTGTTGGGGGGGGCAACAGAGCAACACCATCGCGCCTTCTTTCAACTCGCTTGTGCCATTTCCTAGGCGCCTAACAACAGAGGGGCCAAGGGGAACCACCTATAAATGGAGGGTGGTAGTTTGTTCCAGAACATCACCGTTCCCCTCATCACTCAAGCGCCCAACATCCAGCAGCTATCAAGAAGCTCATCACATTACTTTCAGCTTCTATGCTTTCTCGCAGGTCTCTCTTGCTCAACACCGTCTACTCATCCAAAACTTGATTTGCGTGTCCTCTGCAACGTTCCCTTTCCACTTCCTGCGGAAATTCTGACAAATTGCTATGTCGGGACGCGGCAAGGGAGGCAAGGGCCTTGGAAAGGGAGGAGCGAAGCGTCACAGGAAGGTTCTTCGCGATAACATTCAGGGTATCACCAAGCCGGCTATCAGGCGTCTCGCTCGCCGCGGCGGTGTCAAGCGTATCAGCGGTTTAATCTACGAAGAGACACGTGGCGTGTTGAAGGTGTTTCTTGAGAATGTTATTCGCGACGCTGTGACTTATACGGAGCACGCCAGGAGAAAAACCGTCACCGCCATGGATGTGGTTTATGCTTTGAAACGCCAAGGCAGAACACTATACGGCTTCGGCGGCTAGCCGGTCACCATGAACTAGCTTAGACATGTAGAAGTTGTAGCCTTTACCGTAGTTAACCATTGTCATTGATTTTGATGTTATTGATCATGATTGTACAAAGAATCTTTTATTCTTACCTCTCTGCGCCTTGTGCAGACGACTTCACATTTCAAATGGACAGCCCTATCTGTCCATCCATGTTTCAATGGTCACCATCTTACCATATTTCAAGCAAGTGACCACAGCGGTAGTCAATTCAATAGGAGGAAAATGGACAGCTTCCATGCTACATGTAGCCAGTATTCATTGGAGAAACACTACATCTATCCACCAGTGGACTAATCTTGAAACTACCAAAATGGAACAGCAGAGCAACTACTGTATCATCGTTTCAAGTTGCTCCTCCACTTTTGGTAGTGTTACTTGCTGCTGCTACTGCATCAGGATCACTTGACAGCGGCAAGAGGCGGCACTCCAGCACTGAGAATGCTGAGCTAAGCCAACACACCCACACTTAAAATCACCCTGCTGCAGCAGCATACCTAGAATTATCCTCCCAATAGGCCGCAGCAGCAGCAGCATAACTACCTACCATTATCCTCCCAATTACTTGGCAGCGGCAGGGGGCGGCGCTCGGGCACTGAGGATGCTGAGCCACGCCACCACACCCACACTCAAAATCACCCACCCTGCCACGTCATACCACAGATCGCTGCTCTTCTTTTTCTTCTGGACCTGCAGATGGGGAAGCAGTCACAGCCATACAGTGAGGTGCGACACTTCAAATCACCACTCTGCAGCTCGAAATCAGAAAACAGGCCCGTTCAGATCGACTGACATGGCGAAGGTGGATAGATGGACAGCCGCCCCCAATGACTGCTGCTGCCCCAGCCGCCCCCAGCAACGGATGTTACCAAGAGCCCACGAAAATCAGGATAAGTGGGTCATTAAAGGATCGTCATACCTTGGGAGCATCCATGGACGATGGGTGCACAGCCGCCCCCAGCGCCTGCTGTAGTGCCATCTGCTTCAGCACCTCTTGATGCAACTCAGGTTCAAGTGCACTAGACAACATTGAAAGTGCATTGATGAGAGTACAGTACCTTGGGAGCATCCATGGACGATGGATGCACTGCCGCTCCCAGCGCCTGCTGTAGTGCCATCTGCTTCTGCACCTCTTGATGCAACTCCGGGCCCTGCAACCGGTTCAAGAAAACTTGTTAGTAATAAAATACTACTCAATATCAGCCAAACATAACCAGGGAAGTAGAACACTTTACGAGGTATCTGCGTCTCTCCACCTCCTGATGCATCTCAACAGAAACACCGGAATTGAAACGCCAAGAGGATTTGGCATCAGGCGGGGAAAACACAGCAAAGCACACCCAAACGGGACTCACCTTCAGAGAGATCTCCAGTGACTTGCGGTAGGCGTCGTTGCTCGGGTCCTGCCAGCCAGTGAGGCACACAAGCAGTGAAACGAAGGGGGGGTGTGCGGTAAAGATTAGGGTTGAAGGTGAAGGGGTAAGGGAGACCGCCCCTCCAGTGACTTGCGGTAGGCGTCGTTGCTCGGGTCCTGCCATGCCATGGGGGGGAGAAGGTTTACAAGTTGAAAGGTTGAAGGTTTGAATGTTTGAAGGGGTGCGATCTCAAAGCTGACGTTGGCCATTGTGGCATCGGGTGTCTGGAACCCCCTCGTGGTGTGCGCGTTGACAACTAAACCACGGAGAACCGCACTGAACCACACCTACCGCGTTGGCCAGGGTGGCATCGGGCGTCTGGAATCCCCTCGTGGTGTGCGCATTGCCAATCCGTACAGAAGAACCATACCCCAACATGCTAAAGAGCCGCGCTGAACCGCACTGAACCACATTGAACCATGACGTACCGCATCCAGCGCCTTCCTGAAGCAGTCGGAGGCCTTTTCAAAGCTGACGTTCGCAAGAGTAGCGTCAGGTGTCTGGAATCCCCTCGTGGTGTGCGCGTTGCCGAGCCACCACAGCGTGTCCGGGCGAGATGGGGCGATCTTGAGAGCTTCGTCAAATTTCGAGACAGCATCTGGAAAAGGAAAGAACGAAAGAAGAGGGGTGGAACATTGGGCGTCAGGCGTCTGAAAGCCCCTCGTGGTGTGCGCATTGCCGAGCCACCACAGCGTGTCGGGGCGAGATGGGGCGATCTTCAAGGCTTGGTCAAATTTTGATACGGCATCTGAGGACAGGGCGCGGCAAGGAAGGAAGGGAACTCATTTGGAAAGGAGATGAAAGGAGGAGTGGAGAGGGGAGGAGAAGAGGGAGATTTTTGGGACGTCTTAAAGCCCACGGAGTGTGCCCTAGCCCAAAAGAGCCTGAAATGAAAACCCCTGGTGGTGTGCGCGTTGCCATCTTTTGTGCGCCTTCACCACAGAGTGTCAGGCCGAGAAGGGGAGATCTTGAGAGCCTCATCAAACTTCGACAGGGCATTTGAAGGCAGAGGATGGGGAGAATCGGGGACGGGATGGAAAGGGAGGAGCACGTTTGAGTGAGACCCCTCATAGCTACCGGCACGCCGCAGGCCAGAGGGTGTTGGGGCGAGACAGGGAGAAGGTCAGGGATTCATCGAACTGAGACGACTCTTGAGGCGCCTCAAAAGTAGCCAGAGGGTGTTGGGGCGAGACAGGGAGACGGTCAGGGATTCATCGAACTGAGACGACTTTTGAGGCGCCTCAAAAGTAGTCAGAGGGTGTTGGGGCGAGACAGGGAGACGGTCAGGGATTCATCGAACTGAGACGACTTTTGAGGCGCCTCAAAAGTAGTCAGAGGGTGTTGGGGCGAGACAGGGAGATGGTCACGGACTCATCGAACTGACAAGGCATCTGACGATAGAGTGTGGGGAAGGGGAGGAGAAGAACATTTGGAAGAGGGGAGGGGAGGGGAGGGGAGGGGAGGGGAGGGGAGGGGATGGAGGGAAGCGGAGGGAAGTGGAGGGAAGCGTTGTAACACTCACCATCCAACAACTCAATGGACTCTTGCCCCTGAATTAGCTGCGGCAGCCAACTTGCAGTTATCAACAGCCTTTTGACTCGTTAAGAGCATCCCCGTTACACTCACTGTCCAGCATCTCGTTCGACTCCTGCCCCCGAATGAACCGCGCAAGTCCATTTTATCAACAGCCTTTTGACTCGTTATGAGCAGACCCGTTACACTCACCGTCCAGCATCTCGTTCGACTCCTGCCCTTAAATGAGCTGCGCCAGCTCCACCAGCAAGTATAGTTATTTTGGTTATAGGCAACCTCAGACCCCGTTACAAGTCAAGTCGTCTAGTTACAAACTCGTTATAAGCCCTCTGTTACACTCACCATCCAGCATCTCATTCGACTCCTGCCCCTGAATGAATTGCGCCAGCTCCACGAGTGTTCGGCCGAGCTTGGTCAGATTCTGAGTGGCACAGATGGGGACAATGAAAGGAGAGGAGCAGATGAGCAGAAAAGTAGAGAAGCGGTGAAGCAGGGAATCAGGGAAGCAGGGAAGCAGAAAATATGCGACGCGAAGAGGCAGAGAAGCAGAGAAGCAGAAACGCAAGGACCAAACCTCGCCGGATTTTGCAAGGGTTCTACGATAACAGCGCCTGACACCTGGGCGACTCACTTTCGAGTCGATCGACACACCTCTGAGTCGACTCAAAGGTTCCCTCGCAAGAACCAAACCTCGGCTGGTTCTAAAAGAGCTCTCGACGATAACAGCGCCTGACACCTGGACGACTCACTTTCGAGTCGATCGATTCACCTCTGAGTCGACTCAAAGGTCACCTCGCAAGGAAAAAACCTCGCCGGATTTTACAAGGGATAACAGCGCCTGACACCTGGACGACTCAACCCCGCCACGTGCTACGGGTCTGCGCTCTGCGACCGCACCTGCGACTGTACCTGCGATCGAACCAGCGACCGTACCTGCGACTGTACCTGCGACTGTACCTGCGGCTGAACTTGCAACCGTACCTGCGATCGCACCAGCGACCGTACCTGCGACAGCACTTGGAACCATACCTGCGGTCAACCTGCGACAGTACCTGCGACCGCAGCTGCGACGATACTTGCGACAGTCTCTGCGACTATACCTGCGACCATGTCTATATATGTTGCTGAATTCTCAGCACACCTACATGTGCTCCCTCGTTTGCTCGGAAAACATGCTTCGCAATTCAAGCAGGCCCAACTTGAACCAACAGCCCCCGTGAAAGTACTCACATCGGCGTCATGTGGGTTCTGGACTCTACCATCTCCTGCTCTTGAAGCGTACACCGCTTGAACCAACAATCCACCATCAAACTACTCACATCGGCATCATGCGAGTTCCTCTAGCATTCTGCCATGGCCTGCTCCCTCGTCTGCTCGAAGAACATGATTCGCATTTCAAGCGGGCCAAACAGCAGTCCCCGTGAGATTACTCTTACTCACATCGGCGTCATGTGGGTTCTTCTTGAACTCTGCCATCGCCTGCTCCCTCGTCTGCTCGAAGAACATGATTCGCTCAAAGTCTTCCCTCGGGATCTCCATGCTCCCTCGCTGTCCGTTAACGTCTGGTCCTTGACTGTTAACGTCAGATCCTTGACGGCGAACGTCTGACTCTGACCGTGACCGTTTGATTCTCAACCGTTACCGCTAGACTTCAGTCGATCACGTCTGATCCTTTACGTTTAGCGTCTAATCTGAAATGCTCGTCCAATCCTTGACAGTTAACGTCTGATCCTCGTCCGTAATATCGGCGAATTAAGTCAACTACAATCTGATCGACGCGCGATGACGTCCCTTTTACTTTCACCTCGAAACCATATATCTCAAAAAGCGAACGGCAAAAGCGCGAACGAGGCGTCGACGCGTCCTAGCCTGCCGCGAATCCAGCAAGGTTCAAGCGAGCAGACTAGCGAGCAGTCTATAAACTTCAGGAGGAGATTAGGGAGGGGTGGGTAACAAGCGAGGGGGAAAACAGATGGGAGGGCGGAGGGGAAAGGTGGGGTGGGGTGGGACAGGCAGGGTATACAGTGGTTACCCCACAAGGCTTCTGCGACAGGCGAAATCTGCTACGAATCGGTACACAACCGAAGCATGACATGTTACGTGCAGTACGCCAAACCTGCGATCAAGCCTAAATCCCATCAACGCCGAACCTGCGTTCGAACCTCCGCAGGCTCGCTTTTTTGGCGTGGTTCAATCAGGCTCTCAAGTTTTGAATGCAATATACGGGATTCTAGTGAGGTGAAAGATCCATACAGTACGCGGTATCAGCAATTCATTAGAGGTTCTCAGCTCATACAGTAATATACCATATACAAAACTAGGTACATCTCGAATCATCAAACACCCAGGGCTCGTGGATAAACAGCTCTCTTCCATTCATAGGCACTCGCCCCGCTGCTATGTCCTCTGCTCTTTTCCTGGCTGCCTCCTCTTTCCTTGCACTTTCCTCTTGGTCCTAAGTCATAAGAGACAAGGACGGGATAAGACAAAACCAAAATCAGATCGGCAAGGGGATAAATCCCGAAAGAACTTAGGTCGAGGACAATGGGGAGGAAAATAAACAGCTAATCACTGACAAGTCTACAGCCACAACAGAAACAGTCAACTGACCCACGCCGGATGATGGATTCAGGCCAACCGGGCAGCCATGGCCCCCCACACACTGGAAGGAAATTCAACTTCACACATACAACGAAAACATCCTTGTTCACATCCTTCACATACACTGGAAGCTCACTTTCAAACTCACCTTCCTGGCCTTCCACACACGGAACTGCTCCAGAGTCATTGGCACAAGCCTGGCCCTCGGCTGCTGGCTTTGCAGGCAGATGCCCATCCACAGGTGCATCTACTGCTGGTTCCTTGTATTATATGGCCAGAGCACGGCTTTCTAGCACACCTGACGCTCACCTTCCTGGCCTTCCATTCACGGTACAGCTCTAGAGTCATTGGCGTGCAGTTGCTGGCTCTACTGGCAGGTTCTCACCCACAGGTGCATCGACTGCTGGTTCCTTGTATTATCTGGCCAGAGCACGGCTTTCTAGCACACCTGACGCTCACCTTCCTGGCCTTCCATTCACCGTACTGCTCCAGAGTCATTGGCGTGCGGTTGCTGGCTCTACTGGCAGGTTCTCACCCACAGGTGCATCGACTGCTGGTTCCTTGTATTATCTGGCCAGAGCACGGCTTTCTAGCACACCTGGCGCTCACCTTCCTGGCCTTCCATTCACCGTACTGCTCCAGAGTCATTCGCGTGCGCCCTCAGTTGCTGGCTCCCCTGGCAGATGAGACTCTAACCCGGCTTTCAGTCACAGCACACCCTTCAAACACAACACACCTTCCTCGCCTTCCACGTGCGGTACTGCTCCAGAGTCATTGGCGTGCGCCCCTCAGCGGCTGGCTCTGCTAGCAGGTCCCCTAGTAGGTCCCCATACACATACAAGCTCACCTTCCTCGCCTTCCATTCACGGTACTGTTCCAGAGTCATTGGCGTGCGCCCCTCAGCGGCTGGCTCTGCTGACAGACGCTCATCCACAGAAACTTCCACTGCTGCTTCCGCTCGCTCCCCTGCGTCTAGATACTCCGCTCCCATGGTGCGATGTCTGCTGGGTTGCATGGGGTGAGAGGAGATAAAGAGTGGATGGAGGGACTTGGAGTTGAGTCGCCTGAGACTTCATCCACACGCACATCTACTGCTGGTTCCGCTCGCTCCCCTGCGTCTAGATACTCCGCTCCCATGTCGCCTGCGGGACAATGGAAGAGGAATTGGGAGTGGATGGGGGGATCGAAGGTCACCCACAGGCACATCCACTGCTGCTTCCGCTCGTTCCCCTGCGTCTAGATACTCCGCTCCCATGGTGCGATGTCTGCTGGGTTGCATGGGGTGAGAGGAGATAAAGAGTGGATGGAGGGACTTGGAGTTGAGTCGCCTGAGACTTCATCCACACGCACATCTACTGCTGGCTCCGCTCGCTCCCCTGCGCCTAGATACCCTGCTCCCATGGTGTGATGTCTGCTGGGTTGTATGATGAAAGAGAGGAGAGGATAAGGGGTGGAAGGGAGGGGTATAAGGCGTCTTCAAAGCTCACCCACAGGCGCATCGACTGCTCGTTCCCCTGCGTCTAGATACTCTGCTCCCATGGCGCCTGCTGGGTGGCATGAGGTGAGAGGAGATCATGAGTGGAAGGGGTGGATTTGAGGCGTAGAAACTCGGTTCCGCTTGCTCCACTGCGTCTAGATACTCGGCTCCCATGGTGCCTGCTGGGTGGCATGAGGAAAGAGAGGAGAGGATAGGGGGTGGAAGGGAGGGGAAACAGACGCCTTCAAAGCCCATCCACAGGCAGGCAGCAGACTGACTGCTGGTTCCGCTCGCTCCCCTGCGTCCAGATACCATGCTCCCATGGCGCCTGCTGGGTTGCATGGGGTGAGAGGAGATCGAGAGTGGGAGAGAGGAGTTTGAAACGCGTCAGAATTCATCCACTCCACTCCACTCCACTCCACTCCACTCCACTCCACTCCACTCCACAGGCGGATCGGCTGCTGCTGGTTCCGCTTCTTTCCCTAGAGTGTTTAAATACTCTACTCCCATGGCGCCTGCTGGGTTGCATGGAGTGAAAGGTTCGGGAATGAAAGGCGAGTCAAAGCGCATTGCACAGGCGGATAAACTGCTGCTTCCGCTCGCTCCCCTGCGTCCAGATACTCTGCTCCCATGGCGCCTGCTGGGTTGCATGGGGTGAGAGGAGATCGAGAGTGGACGGGGGGGATTTCGGGGCGAATCAAAGCTCATCCACAGGTGCATCGAGCGCTGGACCCCTGCGCCTAGACACGCCGCTCCCATAGTGGCGCCTGCTGGTTCCGCCGGTTCCCCTGCGCTTAGATCCTCCGCTTGTTCTGCTCCCATGGCGCCTGATGGGTTGCATGAGTTGAGACAGAGGAGATCGAGAATTCATCCACAGGCACATCCACTGCCGGCATGCGAGGGGATGAGGTGACTTTTGAGTCGACTCAAGAGACAGAGGAGATGGAGAATTCATCCACAGGCACAAACACTGCCGGCATGGGAGGGGATGGGGCGCGGACTCACTTCTATAGCAAGGTGATCCAACGGCTGACATTCACGATGACTTTTGGAATGATTACAAGGCAGGCGAGGGAGGAATCACATCAAAGGCAAGCGACGGGTGAATCGCGAAACGCACCTCTACCGCAAGATGATTCGCGACTCGCGAGGATGAACAGCGCCTTGGATGCGGACGGACGGACGGACGGACGCGACGGACGGACGGACGGACGGACGGACGGACGGACGGACGGGCGCCCGTGTACGGATGAAAGGGTGTGCCTGATTCGTGAAGACGCGCGAGCGCGACGGCGGCAGGCGCTGGCGAAGCTACGCGAACGAGTGCGAAGCTATGCGAGGAGCTACCAGGAGTGGCGAAGCTATGCGACAAGGTGTTATGAGAGTGGCGATGCGATGCGACATACTGGAAGTGGAGGACGTAGCTGATGGAGATAGAACTAATTGGCGTGTGTGGTGTAGTGGGATTTAATATGGTGCAGTATGTTTTGGTGTGGTGTGGGATTGTGTGGTGTGCTGCTGCATCATATCATCCTTACCAAAAGCAGTTCTGGTTGCAAACAACCCACAGCTTGACACTGAACACAAACACAGTTTTGTTATTCGTGCTTCCGTTTACTGCATTAAAATGAGAATTGTGTTTACTTCCGTCCCTTAGAACCAGTTGAGTATCTGTTTTGAACATTATGGATGAGCAGAAGTTGGGAAAGTTGTTGCTGTTGTTTGAAACGTTAGCGAAGCAAACGCTGGTGTTGTAAAATATCGAAGCTCTCTATAACCATACAGTTCTCGGGTCAACGGAAACTTTAAGCCTTGAACAGCCCTGACGCAGTCAGCCGACTGAATATTTTCTCTGTTCCCTGATAAGCCCGCAATTATGTTCCGGACCGTAGAAAAACGGTTTTGAACCTTCCGAGACCATACGGCTGTGTGATCAGAAAAAGTGGACCACGACTCCAGCTTTTGACCAGCAGCGCAGCGCCACGATGAAAAGTGCCCTGCCAGAGACACCACACCACCACCACCCCCATCAGTCTCCCTCACACCACGCCACGCGGGAAAAATGCCTCACATCCCATTCCATTCGCCGCCACATGACATTGCGCGCTTCGCAGAACGCTGTTTTCAGAAATCCTGATTTCAACCGCCAACAGAATTTCATCACCACCCAACCCCAGCCTCTGCACCGCACCAGCTCCTTTCTTTCCCCCATAGTCTTGACATCACCTGCTATCATCGTGGCGATCTGGATTCATGCTGCCTAAAACGCGATCAGCATAAGCACCGGACTGATCCCAATAGCTTATCAGTCAAATCAACTTCTTTGCCGATCAGTCCAGCAACTTATCCGTGAGACTCAATTAGCTAAAACATCTCCTACTCGCATCCGCCCGGAAGCCCCTAAACCGAGTCAAACCGCTCGACCAAGTCTGTTCGCGCCGCGATCACAATGACTTCCAGCTCTCGTTACCTCCTCCTGGCGGTCGTCACGACCGCTATCGTCGTCCTCTCCTCCGAACCACTCTTACTGCGAGCAGCAGCCGCTTCTGAAACCGACTCTGGCGCCACTTCCGAAGAGCTCACCGCGTCGCGTCCGTTTAGCGCCACCAACGGCGATCGCACCGACGCATCGGGGAGCAATGGCAGGCGCGAGCTCAAATCCTCTAGCGATTCTCACTCCTCCTCCTCCTCCTCTTCTAGCCACACTAGCAAGTCTAGCGAGGCCACCAAGAGTCGCAGCGAAAACTCCAAAAAACACAAGTCTAGTAGAAACACCAGCAGCGGCAGCGGCAGCGGCAGCAGCAGCGGAAGCGGCGGTAGCGGGGCATACCAGACAAGGAAGCATGGGAAGCGGAGCGCGACGAGCAGCGCAGGAGGCGGCGAGGGCTACTGCCCCTACGCGGGCCGCCCGGGGAATTCTCCGCCCAGCATCTTCTGCGGCGGCGCCTGCTGCATCGTACGTCCCCCTACCCCCTCCCAAAATCCCCCCTACCCTCCCCCCCCCCTCGCCCCCCCTTCTTCTGCCCCTATTCCTCCCCTTCCGCCCAGAACCTTCTGCGGCGGCACCTGCTGCATTGTACGTCCCCAATTCTCCCAACTTCCCCGTTTCTCTCCCTTCCCCACCCCCCCCCTTCCCCCCCCATCCCCCCTCTTCTGCCCCTTTTCCTCCCCTTCCTCTCACTATCTGCAGTGGCGCCTGCTAAATCGTACGTTACCCATTCCATCTCTGCCGCCATCCCTCCCACTCACCCATCTCTTTTTCTCCTTTCCCCTTTCCCCGTTTCCAGTCCTTCCACCCGATTCATCCCTTTCCTGTAAGATTATTTCCGTGTTCTACCTTTTCCCTCTAGCCCCGTTCACCCTTCTTCCCTTTACTTGCTCCCCACTTTCACCGTTCTCCCTTGTCCTCTTTTTTCCCGTAACTTTCACAGGACTCGAAGTACCCGTGTTGAGGGGGGCAGATGAGCTGCAAGAGGGGAGGCTATTGCTCCTTGAGTGCAGAAAAAATATTCACTGTTTTTGTGTGCCAATCCACTGTTTTTCTTCACTGATTCTTTTTCGGGTAATCCCACAGGACTCGGAGTACCCGTGCTGTGGAGGCAAGATGTGCTGCAAGAGGGGAGGGTGCTGTTCCAGCAACGGGAGGTCCCACTGCTGTTGAGGGCGTGTTCAGTGTCATTTCTCCCAAGGCAATTCCATCCTGGGTGCCAACTAGATTACAGTAATTAGGATGTATGTCAATTACCATAGTATTAGATCACGCGCATGCTGCAGAGGCTGATTTTAATAATGCAAGGAGAGGCCATGCATATTACCCCCTTTTGCGTGGTCAGCTCTCAGCTCGAAACTGGGAAACCAGTGGATGCTGCTTGCAAAGATTCTGATGAGGGGGAGCAAGCAACCATTGTTGTTTCTGGTCGTTTGGCTCTGCTGTGGTATTGCTGCAAGGTCAAAAGCACACAGCGGCGAGAATCTCGTTATGATTATTTCTTTATAGGTAGTTGTCAATCAGAAAGTTTCAAGTTGTCAATCAACTGAAACCTTCTAAGATATGTTCAATAAGATTTGTTTAGATATGCTAGGAAATGGCTTAAAGCAACAGCGGAACAAAGCAGTAACGGATACGTAAATCCGCCCTCGTCCACCATCACCACCGCACCCACACAGACCGAAACGTACCTCCGACGCCGCGAATCCCGCGAAAAAAATGTATTCAGACGGCGCGCGCTTGCACACTTCCCCCCAGACGCGCCATTCCACGTGTCGGTCCGCGAGTGGGCCATGGGCGTTCCATGGGCTCGTTAGGGTTGACCTCGTTTTGGCCAATCCAGATTCAGTCGGCTCGACGGATTCCGTCTTGTCTAGGGAACTCCGCGAATCTCGGATTCTCTGCTAGTAATTCCCCGATAGGACGCCTTGGGAATATCGTGCTGCCTGGTTTTTGGCGAGAATTCACAAGCAGCCGGCGGAAAGGCGGAAAATTTCGGCGAAAGGCGATTTGCCGGTCGTGTAGCGCCGGCGGGGTTTCGCGATTCGCTGTTGGAAGCGCCGTGATAAGCGGCGGTGAAAGCGGGACAATGGCGAGCGGCGGTATAATCGAGGAGGCGGAAAACGTGGATGGCGGAGCGGGGGGCGTGGGGATGGAGATGCGCGGGGTGCTGTTCCGGTGGGGGGAGATGGGCGTTAAGGTGCGTCATCGCTTTAGTGTTTACTCATTATAAGCATACACCTCGCACTGATTTCCCCACCAATCCCTGCGCGCCTCGCTCATCCCAGGTCGCCCTCCGCTCGTCCGGCTTCCCCCGCCACGTCATCATCCTAGGTGGAGGCGGGGGAGAAGGGGAGGGGAAAGCGGGGAATTGGGAGGAGAGAGTGGGGAGGGGGAAGCAGAGAACGGGGAAGGAAGAGGGGAGAAGGGGGGAGGGGGAAAGGGACTCAACAGATAACTTGTTTCTCCCTGTGATCTGTGGAAGACGCAGGGACCCCTCGTGTGTCTCTCTCCTTCCTTCCTTCCAGGTGGCCTTCCGTGATAAAAGTTGAGTTTTGAGACGTCTCAGAAGCTGCAGGGTGTTTTTAAGAATTCTCAAAAACACCCTGAAGTTGAACTTTGAGACGTCTCAGAACTCAACTTTTATCACGGAAGGCCACCTGGAAGGAAGGAAGGAGAGAGACACACGAGGGGTCCCTCCTCGTGTCTAACCCTCTCTGGGTCTCTCGCCTTTCCCCCACGTCGCCTTCCGTCCGTCCGACTTCCCCCTCCACGTCACAGAGGTGAATTATGAGTCGGCTCTTGAGTTGACTTTTGAGTCGACTCTTGAGTTGACTTTTGAGTCGACTCTTGAGTTGACTTTTGAGTCGACTCTTGAGTTGACTTTTGAGTCAACTCAAAACAAGGTGACTTTTGAGTCGACTCAAAAGTCTTCCGTCCGTCCGACTTCCCCCTCCACGTCACAGATAACAACCTCCCTCCCCTCCCCCCCCCTCCCCTCCGCGCACCCCCTATTCCCCCCCTTCCCCTCCCACCGTCTCTCTCTCGCCTTCCCCCAGGTTGCTCTTCGCTCGTCCGATTTCCCTGCCACGTCATCATCCTAGGTGGAGATGGGGGAGAGGAGGGGGGGGTGGAATGATATCACAGGTCGTGTCCCACATCATTTTTTTTAAATTCTCAGAAGCATGGAAAGCGCTTTCGAGAATTCTCAAAAGGATCTCACAGGTCGTGTCTCTCACATCACATCATCCTGACTTGTTTCTCTCCGCCCCTCTTCCCCCCCCCCCACCCTCTCCTCGTGACTTCCGCCTTACCTCCAGGTCGCCTTCCGCTCATACACAAGTCATCTCTTCCTCCTGTCTTCTCTCCCACGTTCCTCCAGGTTATTTATGAGAATTCACAAAAATACCATGCAGCGGTGGGGGGAAGGGGGGGTCTCATACACAAGTCATCTCCTCCTCCTGTCTTCTCTCCCACTTGCCCCTCTCAGGTCGCCTTCCGCTCAAACGACTTCCCCTGCCACGTCATCATCCTAGGAAAGGGGCAGGATCACATAGGACAATCCTTCCCCCCCATCCCCTCCCCTCCTCCACCCTCCACCTCCCAGGTTGCATTCCGGTCATACGACTTCCCCTGCCACGTCATCATCCTAGGGAAGGAGAAAGTTAACACTCTCTTTCCTTTGCCATGCCACCATCTTAGGTGGAGGAAGGTGGGGGGGAAGGGGGGTCTCATACATAAGTCATCTCTTCCTCCTGTCTTCTCTCCCACTTTCCCCTCTCAGGTCGCCTTCCGCTCGTCCGATTTCCCCCGCCACGTCATCATCCTTGGTGGCCTCACGGACGGGCTGCTGCCGACGCAGTACACCGCCAGGCTGGCGTCCGAGCTGGCAGCCGTCCATTGGTCGCTGCTGCAGACTCAGCTTTCATCGTCTTACTTTGGATACGGCGCTGCGTCATTAGAGCAGGTATGGCAAGTGGGGATATCCCAGGAGGTGAGAGTGCATTGTATACAGTGCCATTGTAACGAGGTGACTTTTGAGTCGACTCAAAAGTCACCTGGATATCACAGGAGGTGTGCACATATCCAGCGGCCGTGTTTTGAGACGTCTCAAAACACTTCTTCATACACGGGGATATCCCAGGAGGTGAGTGCACTGTGTACAAATCCAGCGGCCCTCAGCCGCTCGTTGGTCGCTGCTGCAGGCGCAGCTGTCGTCATCTTACTTTGGATACGGCACCGCGTCGTTAGAGCAGGCATGGAGTTGGCGGAGGAAGGATGGGGACTGGCAGTGCAATGTGCCTCACTCACCTCTTGCTGCTGCTGCTGCTGCTGCTGCTGCTGCTGCAGGCGCAGCTGTCGTCATCCTACTTTGGTTACGGAGCAGCGTCGTTAGAGCAGGTAGGGCGGAGAGCGGACGGAGGAATGGGGTGATACATGGCGGTGCAATGTGCCTCACCCACCTCAATGTGCCTCACTCACCTCAATGTGCCTCACTCACCTCAATGTGCCTCACTCACCTCAATGTGCCTCACTCACCTCAATGTGTTAGAGACTAAGGATCGAGTCTGTGAAGATTAGGAGCCTAAATTTCTCAAAATCGTTGGCTTGAAATTCTGGACAGAAACCGCAACTTCACAAGAAACGTTGTCGACGAAAAGTGCACCGTTAGAATCGTCTCAAACTCGAGTATGTTATAGCCCTTGTTTGTGGCTATCATTCCCAATTTGAATCGTATCGAAAGGTGGAGTAAATCTCGAGTTATGCTTCTCAGCGCACCAGGGGGTATGCTGCCACATAGAAATTAAATTCACTCACAATAGTTTCACAAGTTCACAAGAGTTGCACACAAGAGAGTTAGAGTAGCACTAAACCAGATAGGAGGAAAGAGGAGGACGAGAGGGAAGGTCCCAAGGAGTCCCCAACCAAAGAAAACTCCATGCCACACAATTCCCTTCCCCATAGGCAACCCAACTTTGACCTTTGTCACTATCCCAACCTCCACAATCCACCTCAACCCAACTTGGCCACACTTGCCAACCTGGTTTGGTTTCTCCCAACCAATTGGCAGCAACTACAGTAGTAGTGACGAGTTTCCCAACCCCCAAAAGTCTGTACCCCATATTGACTCAACCCCACAACTCTCCATGGTCACCACAACCAAATATCAAAAGCATACGAACTCCAACGTTCGTAACTTTCTTGTTCGTGCTCCGATTGAAGTGATTCTTGGTTCGTCGGAAAGCTCTTGAGCAGTGGAGTCACTTCAGATATCTGCTCAAGCCAAATAACATTCACACACACTCAGAAAATCCAAACCACAGAAAAACACAAATTCTTGCGCACGCTCATTTCACACATGCAACGCACGAACACATGATGGGAGGCAGACAGACGTGAATGCAAATGATAGCATCACATAACACAATGTGCCTCACTCACCTCAATGTGCCTCACTCACCTCAATGTGCCTCACTCACTTCAATGTGCCTCACTCACCTCTTGCTGCTGCTGCAGCAGCAGACTCAGCTGTCGCCATCAGTCGCTCCCACATGCTCCATCCTCCTGCAGTGCAATGTGCCTCACTCACCTCTTGCTGCTGCTGCTGCAGCAGACGCAGCTGGCGCCATCAGTCGCTCTCACATGCTCCATCCTCCTTCCCCTGCCGCCCCTCCCCGTCCCTCTCTGTCTTTATATGCCCATTCCCATACCCCACGTCCCACGTCCCCACGTCGACTCAAAAACAGACTCAATGCTGCCCCTCCCCGTCCCTCTCTGTCTTACTATGCCCATTCCCATACCCCATGTCCCGTGCACTCCGCCCCCTATTAGGATGCTACCGAAATAGATGACCTCATCGCTTACATCATCAAGCGGTACCAGGCCTCGGAGGTCGTCCTGGTCGGCCACAGCACAGGCTGTCAGGTGAATAAAACAGAGGACCTGCGTGTCAGGTGAATGCAACAGAGGGCCTGCGTGTCAGGTGAGTACAACAGAGAATACTGCACGCCAGATTAATCAAGGAAAATGACATACCAGGTGAATTCAATAGAACTCCTTGTCAGGAGATTGCAACAGAAGGCGATGGTTCGTCAGGTGCACACAACAGAGGGCAATGGCATGCCAGGTGAATTTAGCAGAGGACAACGTCACGTTGCCCCATACCCACCATGCCCCATACCCACCATGCCCCATACCATACCCACCATGCCCCATACCATACCCACCATGCCCCATACCATACCCACCATGCCCCATACCATACCCACCATGCCCCATACCCACCATGCCCCATACCCACCATGCCCCATACCCACCATGCCCCATACCCACCATGTTCCATACCCACCATGCCCCATACCCACCATGCCCCATACCCACCATGCCCCATACCCAGCATACCCCATACCCAGCATACCCCATACCCACCATGCCCCATATTCTCTGCCCCATACATTTTTCCCAGAAATGTCTCATCCCTTATAGGTGCCCCACAGTTCCTTAAAGGTGCCCCGCGGCTCCCAGCTCCCTATCAGCCTCCTGCCAGTGTGTCTTCTCAGAATCGCCTCCTTCCTTTCAATAAAACAAGTGTTTTGAAACGTCTCAAAACGCTTCTTGTATCACGTGGCTACTCCTGCCAGTGTGTCTTCTCAGAATCGCCTCCTTCCTTTTGGCCACCCGCTTTGCCCAGTTTCATCCCCCCAACATGGCTACTCTCTCCCCTGCCTCCTGCCAGTGGGTCTTGTCAGAATCACCTCCTTCCTTTCGATAAAAGAAATGTTTGAAACATCTTAAAGAAGTGTTTGAAACATCTCAAAGAAGTGTTTGAAACGTCTCAAAGAAGTGTTTGAAACGTCTCAAAGAAGTGTTTGAAACGTCTCAAAGAAGTGTTTGAAACGTCTCAAAGAAGTGTTTTAAGCATCTCAAAGAAGTGTTTTAAAAGAAGCAGTTCCCGCTTCGCCCAGTTTCATCCCCCCAACATCTCTACCCTCTCCCCTGCCTCCTCCCAACATATCTCCCCCCTCCCCACATGCCTCCCATTTCCCTCTCCCCACAACCTTCCCCCTTCTCCTTTATCAGCACATAGTGGCATATCTCAAGAGCAAAAGATGCACCCACCTCGCCACTGATGTTAGCGGGGTGCAGTACGGTGCGGTGCGGTATATCTCTCCCACTCCCCCGTCTCCCTTTTTCCTTCCCTCGCCTCCTCCTTTATCAGGACATAGTGGCATTTCTCAAGAGCCAAAGATGCACCCACCGCAGCATTGGCCTCAGAAGGGTGCAGTGCGGTGCAGTGTGGTATATATCTCCCTCTTCCCCCTCGTCTCTCCCTTCATAGTGGCATTTCTCAAGAGCCAAAGATGCACCCACCGCAGCATTGGCCTCAGAAGGGTGCAGTGCGGTGCAGTGTGGTATATATCTCCCTCTTCCCCCTCGTCTCTCCCTTCATAGTGGCATTTCTCAAGAGCCAAAGATGCACCCACCGCAGCATTGGCCTCAGAAGGGTGCAGTGCGGTGCTGTGCAGGCATGCAGTGCGGTACAGTGTGGTATATATCTCCCTCCCCCCCAACGAGTCTCCCTTTATATAGTGACATATCTCAAGAGCCCTAACTGCACCCACCACAGCTTTGGCCTCAGAAGGGTGCAGTGCGGTGCAGTGCAGTGTGGTATACCTCTCCCACTCCCCCCCCCCCCCCCCCCACCTTTCCCCTCTCCCATCAGGACATAGTGGCGTATCTCAAGAGCACTAAAGCTATCCATCGCAGCGCAGTCAAAGCCGCCATTCTTCAGGTGCCGCCATTCTTCAGGTGCCGCCAGGTGGTTTTCCAGGTGATGCCATATTGTTTCCACGGCTTGTTCTTAGATGCATTCTGTGGTTTTCCAGGTGCTTTCAGGTAGTTCTCCAAGTGCCATAAATTTTGATTGCAGGTTATGTTTTTCAGGTGGTTTTTCAGGTGTTCTGAGCAGAGATCCTAGTTTCCAGTCCTGATCCCAGCTAGCTGACAAGCCACAGTCATTGAAACCCGTTCAGCACATCTTAGTCTCGCTTCCTTCCGTTTCGCCTAAGAATAGGCACCAACGAGTGACAGGGAGTGCATGGAGCAGCAGGGGATGGAGGGAGGGGAGGAGTCTGAGGAGTGACAGGTTATGAATCAGGTGGCACAGGCTATGATCACTCACATACCGTATTCCTTTTTTCCCTTCCTTCCCCCCCACCAGGCCCCAACGAGTGACAGGGAGTGCATGGAGCAGTGGGCGAGGGAAGGGGGGGAGGGAAGCTGAGGAGGCATTTGAGGAGATGAAACGAGAAGCACATGCCATGCTCACTCCCATTCTCCCATACCACATCCCATCCCTCCCTGCCTTCCCCCCCGCCAGGCCCCAACGAGTGACAGGGAGTGCATGGAGCAGCGGGCGAGGGAAGGGGGGGAGGGAAGCTGAGGAGGCATTTGAGGAGATGAAACGAGAAGCACATGCCATGCTCACTCCCATTCTCCCATACCACATCCCATCCCTCCCTGCCTTCCCCCCCGCCAGGCCCCAACGAGTGACAGGGAGTGCATGGAGCAGCGGGCGAGGGAAGGGGGGGAGGGAAGCTGAGGAGGCATTTGAGGAGATGAAACGAGAAGCACATGCCATGCTCACTCCCATTCTCCCATACCACATCCCATCCCTCCCTGCCTTCCCCCCCGCCAGGCCCCAACGAGTGACAGGGAGTGCATGGAGCAGCAGTCGAGGGAAGGGGGGGAGGGAAGCTGAGGAGGCATTCGAAGAGATGAAGCGGGTGGCACTAGCAATGATTCCCCATCTCACTCACATTCCCTTTCACCTGAAAGAAGGAGTGTTTTGAGACGTCTCAAAACACTCCTTCTTTCATGAAGCGGGTGGCACTAGCCGTGATTTCCCCATCTCCCCCACATTCCCTTTCACCCCCCACCAGGCCCCAACGAGTGACAGGGAGTGCATGCAGCAGCAGGCGAGGGAAGGGGGGAAGGACACAGAGGATGCCTTTGAGGAGATGAAACGGGCGGCGCAGGCCATGATTGCGGGCGGCAGAGGCGCCGAGATGATGCCGAGAAGTGCCGACCCGCTCGCACCTATCACAGCGTACAGGTGGGTCTAGCAAGCCAGTCACTGCCCTCTGTGTTGAGGACAGTTTTGAGAACTTTTTAGTCAATTGATAGATGGGTCTAGCATGCCAGCCAAGGAACCTGCAACACGGGCAGAGATAACTGCCTTTCGTGGTGAAGATACTTTTGGGAATCCTCCTGAGAACCCTCCTGAGAACCCTCCTGAGAACCCTCCTGAGAACCCTCCTGAGAATCCTTGTAAAAATCCTCTTTTGAAGATACTTTTGAAGGCACTCAAAAGTAACTCCGGCATGCGCCACGTCTGCCCTCCCTGCAGGTTCCATTCCCCTGCTGGCAGGCATGCACGGGAGGGGACGATGCCATGATGCTCGGCTCATAATGTTCGCCTCCTCTACTGACATGTTTTGAGACGTCTCAAAACACACGACAGCTCCCCTACTGACATGATGCTCAGCTCATACTGTTCGCCTCCTCCGGTGCACATAACCCGTCCGCTCCCCCTCCCCCACCTACACATTTCTGCCCTCCTACATACCCTTCCTGCAGGTTCGCTTCCCACCATGGGTGGTGCTTCATTGTGCCCTCCCATGCTCACTCTCCCCATGCCCATACTTCACCTCCCTCCTGCAGGTTCCACTCCCTGGCGTGCACGGGAGGGGACGATGACATGTTCAGCTCTGAGTTTTCAAAGTTTGCCCTTTATACCTGCGTGTGCCCCTCATGCTCCTTCTATTTGCCCTCTCATCCACCCTCTCACCTCTCAGGTTCCACTCCCTGGCGAGCATGGGAGGGGAGGATGACTTGTTCAGCTCGGACTTTTCAAAGTTTGCCCTTTATACCTGCGTGTGCCCCTCATGCTCCTTATATTTTCCCTCTCATCCACCCTCTCACCTCTCAGGTTCCACTCCCTGGCGAGCATGGGAGGGGACGATGACATGTTCAGCTCTGACTTTTCAGACGAGGAGTTGAAGGAGCGGCTGGGGCACATGGGTGCATGGCCGTGCCTGGTGAGAGTGTTAGCTTGTGGTGACTTGTGGGGAGTTGGATGGGTGCATGGGTGGGCGCATGGGTGCATGGGTGCATGGGTGCATGGGCGCATGGGTGCATGGCAATGATGGTCAGATCAGGGAATATATATGTGTACCCAATCTTATTTATACCATACCATGCTCCCCCATCCATGAAATCACCTTGTGATTTTCCACGCAGGTGATTCTATCAGGGGAGGATCAATACGTGCCAAGAGCTATAGACAAGGAAAAGCTGCTACAGAGGTAAAGGCTCCCTCTTTCTTCCATTCCTTCTCTTTTGAGATTTCTCAAAACAAGCCAAGAATCATCGACAAGGGAAAGCTGTTACAGAGGTAAGTTTTGTAGTTTCTTTCATTCCTTCCCTCGACTGTGCAAATTTCATCCCCTGTTCTCTTGCTGCCCCTGTCCTCTCCACCCTTGAACCATGTCCCTCTCTTCTTTCATCTCTTTCTTTTTGTCTCTTCCTTGGCTTTTCCTCTCTTCCTTTTCTTCTCTTCCCTCTCCTCTCTTCCCTCTCTTCTCTTCTGTTTCCTCTCTCCCCTCTCCTCTCTCCCCTCTCCTCTCTCCCCTCTCCCTTCGTCCCTCTACTCTTTTACCTTCCTTCGCTTTTGTTGCCTCTGCTTCATACCTTTCCTCTTCTCGCCCTTTCACTCATCGTGCTTTTTCCTCTGACTCTCCATTAATCATGATGATCCCACTCACTTAGTTTCATCACTCACAAGTAACAGGCCTCTTTCAGTTGCTAGCTTAGCTTATTCCCTTTTCCCTGTTTTGCACCTTTTCAACTTTCATCACATGCATTTGTTTATTACATTACCCTGTTGTTTCCTCATTACTGTTCTCGTTTTCTTCTGTATTGGTGCTGTTGCATCAAAACACCACCTTTTCATGCCACTGCTGATCCCACCTTCCGTCAAACTCTGTTCTCTGCTGCTATGGCTGGTGCCACCCATGCTATGAATGCTACAGCCAACAAACTCCCTCACTAACACTCTTGAGTCGACTGAGAGGCGACTCTCTGAGTACCGTAACACAGTCGATAATAACCCAACCATTCTATCCCACTGTTAATCCCACCACCCTTCCTTCGGGCTCTGTGCTGCTATGGGAAATGCTACCCCTGTCCTAATTCCTGGAGCCGACCACTCCCTGCGTAACACAGTGGGCGACAACACATCCGTTTCATGCCCCCAATTAAGGCTCTGTCTGTGCTGCCACCCTTCATCCCATCACCCACCCTTCCTCCCTTCAGGCTCTGTGCTGCTATGGGTGGTGCCACCGCTGCCCTAATTCCTGGAGCCGACCACTCCTTGAGTAACACAGTGGACGAAGCGGTTACCACGATAACGGATTTCATTAAGGAGCTTTAAAGCCAGCAGCTAAAATAGTGACCCCCCCCTTCTAGTTGGGTCCACTTGAAAACCAACTCACTACAAATATTTGTTTTCGCCTTCAGAGGATTTTCAAAGTGAACGGGGAACAGTTGGAATTATTTTTCGGGTTCTGATTGGTGGAAACATTCTCCCGCATGCATGTGCGAATTTGTCGCAGAGTAGCGCGAGCAATGCTAGTACTCCTGTAATCAACACTTCACTAAATCCACATCGAGCACTACCGGTAGCACTTGCACCATAGCACACACACAGGCAGCATTTGTGCATAGCAGAGCTGTGACAAAACTGTTTCCTTGGAGTTGCCGCCTGAGAGGTGCAATAACTAGGGGTGATAAACGAGAACGATATAGGAAATGAGAGCGGGAAAGGTAATGGGAAGCGCTGGCGGCGGCGGCGGCGGCGACTGAGAATTCGCGCTGGCGTGATGGGTGGAGTGGGAGGGGCGAGCGAGAGATGGGATGGAAGGGAGGGGGGAGGGAGGACAGTGAAGGCGACGAAAAGGGAACGGGGACAGCGAAGGCGACGGGCGGGGAGAGAGAGGAAGAACGACGGGAGAGGAGTAAATTACGGACAAAATCATGCTTCATTTATAGAGAATTAATGGACGAATTACCTGGCAGCGGAAGTAAGTAGCACCTGGTGATCAAGCCAATTCCATCTCGAGAGAAGAAGGGCAACGGGATTGAGACGAAGGGTGCCGAGAGGTCGTTTCGCGGAGAGCGCGAGGGTGATGGAAAGGGTGATGGGAGGGGAGGGAGGAAAGGCATGGGGAGGACGTTTCAGAGCAAGAGCGAAGGCGGCGAAGTGGGTGATGGGAGGGGAGAGAAGAAGGGAGAGCGCGAGGTGTCAAATTATATATATGATATATATGTGTAGGCTGTAGTTGGGTAGTTACTATGGGGTATAGCCCCTTAGGGTTTCATATTTGTACCCAACTCTCATCTAGTCAATCAATTCCTGGCTAGTATTTTCAGACATGGTATAGAGCAGTAGGTCCGTAGGACCGTCTTACTTCGGGCCCACCTACCGTTGCGGTTACCACGCTGCCCCGCCTGCCTTGCCTGCGCTGCGCCTCACGCGCGCGCCCTGCCTTGCCTGCGCTGCGCTGCCCGCGCGCGCTACCTTATTTTTTTTCGCGCACGCCACGCTAGCGGCTTGCGCAGCCCGCTGCTGCCCCGCGCGTCGCCTCTACCGGTCGCGCAGCCCGCAGCTGCTCCGCGCGCGGCCTTAGGAGACAGCGCGCGGCCTGCTGCTGCCCCGCGCGCCGCCTTAGGAGGCCGCGCGTCGCCCGCTGCAGCCTGCGCGCAGCTCCGTGACGCCCGCGCGCAGCCCCCTGCAGCCCCGCGCAGCCCTCACGCAGTCCGCTGCAACCCCGCGCGGCGCCTCCGCCGCCCCAGCGCGGCCTGCTTTAGCCCCGTGCGCCGTCTTACCTGCCCGCGCGCCGCCTTGCCGCCCTTACCGCTTGAGTACCGCCTCAGCAGCTAGTGCGCCGCACCTGCGGCCCTGCGAGCAGCTTCTCTCGGCCTTAGCTCTGCTTTGCCACCTGCGCTGACGTCATGGCATCCCTTAATGTCCTCGCTTTGTTAAAGACTAAGGACGGAGTCTATGAAGATTAGGTGCCCAAATTTCTCAAAATCGTTGGTCTCAATTTCTGGACAGAAACGTCGACTTCACAAGAAACGCTGTCGACGAAAGGTGCATCGTTAGAATCCCACAAAATTCGAATATGTTGTAGCCCTAGACCGTGGCTACATTTTCCAATTTGAATCGTATCAAAAAATGAAGCATATCTCGAGTTATGCTTTTCGGCGCACTAAGGGGTATGCTGCCACAGAAATTTAACTCAATCACAATTAACTCACAAGTCCCACAAAAGAACATTAGAGTAGCACTAAACCAGGTAGGAGGGGAAGAAGAGGACGAGAGGGAAGGTCCCAAGAAAGTCCCCAACCAAGGAAACCCCATGCCACACAATTCCCTTCCCCATAGGCAACCCAACTTTGACATTTGTCACTATCCCAACCTCCACAATCCACCTCAACCCAACTTGGCCACACTTGCCAACCTGGTTTGGTTTTTCCAAACCATTTGGCAGCAACTACAATAGAAAATACGAATTTCCCAACCCCCAAAAATCTGTACCCCATATTGAGTCAACCCCACAACTTCCCACAGTTGCTACAACCAAATATGAAAAGCATACGAACTCCAACGTTCGTAACTTTCTTGTTCGTGCTCCGATTGAAGTGATACTTGGTTCGTTGGAAAGCTCTTGAGCAGAGGAGTCACTTCAGATATCTGCTCAAGCCAAATAACATTCAGACACACTCAGAGAAACCAAACCACATCAAACACAAATTCTTGCACACGCTCACACCACGCATGCAACGCACGAACATATGATGGGAGGCAGACAGACGTGAATGCAAGTGATAGCATCACACAACAAACTCCCCCTCTGGCTGCCAACCATCATCCCACATGCCATAGCTCAAGCATGCATCCTCAATGCATACTCATCCCAGCAAGTTCCATTCACTTCCAACACTCATCCCAATGGACAATCATCTCCTTCCAACATCCCACTTCCAACATCTCCTCTTTGCTCAAATCTGCAGCACCCTCTGCAGCCTCTATTTCAAAACACTATCCACCAAACCATCTCATTGCAGCTCCATAGCAATACGCTATCTCATCCTCATCCATCTGTTCAGCCACACTTCCAGCCGGTACCACACTTGGCGTGCCACGGCTCGCATAGGTCAGCCGGTTAGGAGGGCGCACATTCCTCCTGGGACGGTCAGCCGGACGTGCGGCACCTTGTGGAGCATCTTGCTGCTGCTGCTGCGGCTGCTGCTGCTGCTGCTCCTCCACCTCAGGTTCTCCCCCATCCTCAATCACCCCAGAGATCTCCTCCTCTGAGACAGTCACCTGCACTTGTCTTGAAGGCCGCTGCACCTCATCGGCCTCAATGATCAGCGATGTAGTAGGAAGCTTCTGCTGCTGCTGCTTCCACTCCATGTAGTACAAGGACTCAAGGAACTTCACATCCCTTGACACAGTGAGCTGCTGGCTGGTCAAGTCCCAAATCAGCCAGCCCTTGTGATCCTTAGCAAGCCCCAAGTGCACACCCCATCTTCCAGAAGCCTCCAACTTTCCCCTCTTCTCCTTAGGTACATGAAACACCACCATGCACCCAAAGGCTCTCAGCATGTTGACTGCTGATGCACTCCCATACCACTTGGTGTAGGGGACCCATTGCTTGTCCCCCACTGTCGCCAGCACCCGGTTCTTCATAACAGCGACCTGCCGCAGTGCTGTCACCCAAAACGGATCCGGCAGCCCTGCACGCCCAAGGAGAGTGCGAGCACCTTCCTGCAGGGTCCGATTGAACCGCTCAGCCACGCCGTTCTGCTGAGGGTTGTAGGGCACCGTGAGCTGATGCTGGATCCCCTTCTTCTTCAGCACCGCCTCAAAATCAGCGCCAATAAACTCTCCCCCATTGTCGGTGCGGATCACCTTGACCTTGTGTCCGCTCTCCCTTTGTGCTCTCGGCATCCACTCCTTAAGAACAGCCGCTGCCACCTCCCCCTTCGTCTTGAGAGGGTACACCCACACCGCACGCGTGTGGTCGTCCACAATTGTCAAGAAGTAGCGGCTGCCCGAGAGAGAAAGAGCCCTTATGGGGCCCACCACATCCATGTGCACAAGCGCGAGTGGAACCTTGGCTGGTCCCGTGTTGCTGCTGAAAGGGAACTTGGTGAACTTTGTCTCAAGGCATGTAGGGCAGCTCCCAATCTCCTTCGCTACCCCCTTCACCTCCAATCCCTTCAAGCTCCCATCCTTCACCAACTTCTACAGCATAGGAATGTTGATGTGGCATAGCCTCTCATGCCACGTCTCCCAATCGGCCTCACCAATCCCAGACGAAGCCTTTGCCCATGCAGCCGTTGCATCCACACCAGCAAGCACCTCACCATGTGATTGCTGTGGCTGCTGCACCTTCTTGACTGCATCCAGGGCCCCAGCAGTTGGTGCAGTCTCCTCTCCTCCCGCAGTTGCCTTAGCCGCTGCCGCTGCCTTTGCCGTTGCTGGAGGTTTCCCATTCCAAGGGATGATGGGCAGCTGCCACAGGTCCTTGATGCAGCTGCTCTTCTCCTCCAAATCCCACAGCAGCAACTTCCCAAGCTTTGCACGGCAGCTGGTTGGGCCGAAGGTAACTTCAGCCTTGCTCTTCTGCAGCCGACGCACAGAAAGAAGGTTAGCGGACAAACCTTCAACCAACAGCACATTCCCAAGCCCCACAAGCTCTCCATTGGCTCCCATCACCTTGGCATTCCCAACACCAAGCACAGGGAGCAAAGCACCTGAAGCGGCAGCCACAAACTTGATCTTCCCAGGAGGTTTTACCTCATCAAGCAAATCTGCCCGTGGAGTCATGTGACTCGTGCAACCTGAATCGATCACCCAGTGAGTGAGGGGGTGCATCACAACCTTCCCAACTGAACCCACATCACCCCCACTCCCTTGCACATCCTCAACAATGAGGAACATCCTAGGGTCGGCTTTACCTTGTGCACCATCACCTTGTGCACCTGAACCTTGCACAGCACCACCTCGTGCACGTTCACCACTTGGCAGCTTCATGCCTGGAGGCGCCCATCCTTCAGACCGGCTGAAACACTTGAACCACGGGTGTCCAGCCTTCTTGCAGTACCAGCACGCACCCTCCATTCAGGTGCTCCCCCTGCCACCAGAGCTCTCATGCCCCTCGTTGTAGTCACCTCGGCCTCTTCCTCTCCCAAAGCCTCTCCCACGGCCTCGGCCTCTCCCTCCCCCTCTCCCCTGCTGCCTCCTGCAGCTCCGTACCCCTCAGCAGTTTTGTTGGCAGCACCACCTCCCGTGTGGCGCCTGCGGAAGTCCTCCTGCAGGATCTGCTGCCGTAGCCACTCAGGTGTCCACTTGTCCTGCTGAGC